TTTTACAATGAACAATAATATAAATTCTAATATAATCTCAGAAAGCATAGATTGTTTTTTATTAGCCTATTTTTATTTGTTTAAATATTAAAATTTTATAATTGATTACACTTTCCTTGGAAAAGAAAAATAAAAGTAAAATGAACAGTATTACAAGAAACAAACCATAAACATGCTTTCTCTTCAAAAATTTCAGACTGGATGCGGTTCAAAGCAGAGAAGTTTAAACAGCAATTTTGTTTATAAATTCTAGACACAATGCCATTTTTCTCTCTAATATCTCTCTTCTCTCTCTCCTCTACAATTAATCTAACAATTGTATTCAATAACTAATAATGAGTTTGAATGTTGGTAATTACTTAATTTCGTATTTTTCCCAGGCCCAAAGGAAGCCTCAGTGAGTGTCTGTTCAGAAGATTTGGGACCCACATAAAGCTAAAATTCTTATTCTAAAGATTTATTATCAGAAGACGCAAGTAAGCAGCTAATATTTAACTAAGTCCTAATAGGGAAAGCAAATCTGGGGAAGAACTTCACAGAAGCTCAGTTTCCATTTTTAGTAGGAGCATCTTAATGGAGCTAGAGCAACAGTACAGCAAATAGAGCTCTTGCCTTGCACATGACTGCCCTGGGTTTGATCCCCAGCACCCCATATGATCCCCTGAATTCCATCAGAAGTGATCTCTGAGCACAGAAACAAGAGTAAACCTTGAGTACTGCCAGATGTTCCCCCCCCAAAAAAAAGGAGAAGGAGAGGAAGAGAGAGAGAGAGAGAGAGAGAGAGAGAGAGAGAGAGAGAGAGAATGAGTCACATTTCTATATGGGCTCACAATTTTACTTTCACGCTCCTTTTGCTAACATCTTTTATCATATTTTTAACTGTGACATCAGCTCATTTAAATCTTTTTAACTGAGGTGATACTGGTTTACAAGGGTACTCTTTATATTTTTTAAGGATCAATTTTATCACACTCAGGGCTGGAGCGATAGCACAGCGGGTAGGGCGTTCGCCTTACAAGCGGCCAACATGGCCGACCCGAGTTCGATTCCTCCGCCCCTCTCGGAGAGCCCGGCAAGCTACCGAGAGTATTCGATATGCCAGACACAGTAACAACAAAGTCTCCAATTAATTTTTACAGTTTTAAAAAAATGGCTTCTGCTTTTAGAAGATCCTGCCCCTCACTGTAGTATCAAGTTCACATCGCAGTAGTGTTGACTTCTATTTAAGTGGGAGGTTTGTCTTTAAAACTCAAGTCAATTGCACATAACTACAATATGATATGATTGGGAGGAGTCAACATTACAATACAAGCATCAAATCCTATTAGCAGTACAATGTGGAGAGGGGAGACACAAACCTCTTAAGACATAGGATGCTTGGGTAGACAGGCTAGTGACAGAGTTCCTGTCAGATCTCCCTTTGTGAAAAGGGAGGGGAGTTTGTTTTTCTGAGTTAAGGTCCTCACTAGAGAAGTCAGAACCAATTCACGATCATGGGTGAAGTTCAGAAAGTATTTCAAATCTTGCCCAATTAGTAGCATATTCCAGAGATGTATTTCCAGTACCACCTGGTAATTTTATTGTATTTTTTTATTTTTTTAAAAATTTTTATTAGTGAAACACCATGAGGTACAGTTGTAGACTTACAAATTTTTAAGCTTGCTGAAAGTAGACCACCTGGTAATTTTAACTTAGGAACAGCTTCTCACACACCCTTGCATTTTATAAGTCTGCATATTCTATCTGATAGCATGTCACTATTACTCCCACCTTTGTATCAGCTGGTATTGTAATGTTGATGCCCCTGCTATTTTGCTATCAAGATCATTGCAACACCAGTATAAATAATATTCACCATGGTATGACATAACATGAATTTTCAGTAATAGTTAATACCATATGCTATGTGAATCCTATGGTTTCTGTTGTTGGTAATAAATTATATCTTGTATGATAAAACTACCCATATGCAAAATATAGAATAATGAGCATGATCATTTTCCAAACTTCATTTACCAATACTGAAAATTGAATCATATCACTCTCAGAAGTCTCAGTCACAGATAAAAGTCTTTTTATCTTTCAAAGAAAAATAAACTTTAACCAATGTAATAAACACACTTAATTCACAATTTCAGCCAGTCTATTGAAAAAGGCAGTAGATAGGATTTGGTCTCTTTTCTAAGAAAGGAATATCCTGGGCCTGCTTTTGAATTTGTAAAGTGTCAGAGATAAGAACAAAGTAAAAAAGAACATAATAAATATGATAAATATGTTGAGGATTAAAAAACAAAAGCAAAAATTAGTAATAGGCTAAGAAGCAAACTCAAAAATTTTAGGATGATATAGAACAGCGATAATTCTGTTTAATTGAACATTACTTAGTCCTAATCATAGTTCATTAGACATGATTTAATTCTTAAAATAGGATAGAAATTACAAATTATATAAATGCACACCTGGGTCTCTCTAAATATAGTGGGTTTTGCATCAAAATTTTTGACTAAACTAAGGAATTAGAAAATTGTTTATTGAAAACCTAGCTGGGTTCAAAGCTCAACTGTATCAGTATTAGTCAAATGATTAGATGATTATTGATTTTTTTAGGGGGGCTCCCAGGCAGTGCTCAGGGGGCAGGAAATTCTCTGTAGTATCCTGGAGATTCTCAGCTATCTGGGTTGGGAAATTTGGTGCTGAGGTGGAGGCTACTGGGCTGTGCTGGGACCCAGGGAGCTAGGTAGTAAATAGAGTCAGGGACTTTTTTTTTTATTATTAGTGAAACACCATGAGGTACAGTTGTAGATTTACAAATTTTCCTGCTTGGGTTTCAGTTATACAATGATCAAGTACCCATCCCTCCAGTGCCCATTTTTCACCACCACAGATCCCAGTATCCCTCCCACCCACCATCCTCCCCCCCCCCCCCCCCCCCCCCGCCCATCCCACCCTGCCTCTGTGGCAGGGCATTCCCTTTTGTTTTCTCTCTCCTTTTGGGTGTTGTGGTTTGCAAGAGAGGCATTGAGTGGCAATCATGTTTGGTCTATAGTCTACTTTCAGCATGCTTCTCCCGTCCTGGGAGGATCCTCCCAACACCCTTTATTTGGTGCTCCCTTCTCTATCTGAGCTCCCTTTTCCCCTAGCATGTGTGGCTGGCCGCCAAGCCACGGAGCAAACCTCCTGGTACTAATCTCGGCCACTCTTGGGTGTTAGTCTCCTATTTTGTTACTTTATGTTCCTCAGGTGAATGCCCTCTCTTTCTGACTCATTTAGCTTAACATGATACTTTCCATGTAGTACCACTTGTATGTAAATTTCATGACTTCATCTTTTCTAACAGCTACATAGTACTCCATTGTGTAAATGTACCAAAGTTTCTTTAACCAGTCATCTGTTCTAGGGCACTCAGGTTTTTTTTCCAGATTCTGGCTATTGTAAAGAGTGCTGCAATGAACAAACAGGTGCAGATGTCACTTCGACTATACTTTTTTGCCTCTCTGGGATATATTCCCAGGAGTGGTATTGCTGGGTCAAATGGGAGCTCAATTTCTAATTTTTTGAGAATCGTCCATACTGTTTTCCAAAAGGGCGGAACCAGTCGGCATTCCAACCAGCAGTGAAGGAGGGTCTCTTTCTCGCCATATCCATGCCAGCACCGGTTGCTTTTGTTCTTTTGGATGTGGGCGAGTCTCTGTGGTGTGAAATGATATCTCATTGTTGTTTTAATCTACATCTCTCAGGGACTCTTTAAGGTCAAACCCACTATTACTGGTTACAGAGTCACGTGATGCTAGGGTACAAATTATGGCCACTGAACTGAGCTGTCTCTCCAGCCCTTTTACTGATCCCCTTAATGCCACTGATTTCTCATCAGATGAAGTAGCCACTTCCTACATTTGCATTATAGCACTGTCCTCCTGTGGTTCATAAATTTGCTTGAGTGGGCCCAGTAACATCTCTATTGTGAGACTTTTTGTTATTGTGTTTGGCTTATCAAATACATCACGGGGAGCTTGCCAGGCTTTGCCATGCGGGCGAGATACTCTTGGTAGCTTGCCGGGCTCTCCAAGAGGGGCGGAGGAATCGAACTTTGGTCGGCCATGTTGGCCGCGTGCAAGGCAAATGCCCTACCGCTGTGCTATTGCTCCAGCCTAGATTTGCTGTGTGGGTTAAATGAGTTTGTTTATACTTTGTTTATATATGTTTATGGAAAGTAATATTCTAACAGGAAGAAAAAAGTAACTGTGTATTTGGACATGGATAAGGTTCTAACTTTAAATAAGGCATACAGAGAAGGTAGCATGAAGGTAATCTGGCCAAATTTACAGAAGTCAGAAATGTTTATATTTAAAAATAAATTAACTTTGAGATAATTGTTCATCCATACACAGTTGTAAAAAAAGTATTTATTTTACTAGAGTGATACCAGTTGCTACCATTGAAGAAAACTAGATGAAGGGTATACATTATTTACAGTTTATTCTATTTCACCAGTTCTTCTTGCATTAATTGTGTATGTGTGATTGTTTTTTAGTTCTTCACCCAAGCAGTCTTTGAAAAGGAACATTCATACAAAAATAGGTAATAAATTCAGTAATTTAAATACTTAGAGAAAATCGTTGCCTACAATTCATGTAACTGACACACCTAAACATTACTACCAAGTATTCAGAGGTGAATAACTAACTCAGCATATCTTCTAGACTGTCTCTTTTTTAAAATTTTCTTCTACCACCTCTAACTCCCAAGGTTATATTCTGAAGTACAGAATGGAGACACACGAGTAGGAAGACTGAAAACCTGAATTTCTTCTTTGGTTTGGCAGTGCTCAGGGCTTACTCCTGGCTCTGCACTTATTCCTGGCAGTGTTCAGAGGGTCATGCAAGATTCATGCTTTATAACAGACTATTGGAGGGGCAGGTTAGAAGGCATAGTGTTTTCAGTAAAATTATGAAAATGTGCTTCATCGTTACTGTAAGGAGCCTTTTAACCCAGGCTCCTTTTTATTTCAAGTTGGGCAAAGTGATTTGATCAACAAGCACAGAGAAGGCCCCACACACCAGCTCAGCTCCACGATATAGATCCATGTTCACTGAAGACTGCAGACCTGAAATCAGCAGATGGGAGAAGCTTTCAGAGAGAATACATATATAGGTTCTTGAAACAATCTTGATAAAGATGTAGCACAGAGACAAAACAGAGTCATTCCTCCCAGCTTGATGATGACAAATCTCTTTCTCTAAGATACAGAGCAAAGTACATGGCTGCTATTTACCATGATCAATCGAATGCTAATCCAACCAGGTTGTGGGTTCTCAATGATTTTACAATCGAAGTAGAATTGTTTAAATTGCTGAATTGACTCCAAGCTCACAAATGAGCCTTTAAAAAGCCTACAGTGGAGCAGTGGTCTTGATTGTCTATCGCAATCACTAGGGAGTTTTACAACAGATTTCTTGCTAGTCCCACCCTAGGGATTCTGTTGAACAGTAAAGGCAGACATACATGCGGAGAAAAATTGCTTGGATTAAGGGACTGGAAATATAGTGTAGTGGGAAGGTAAGGCTCTTGCCTTACTTATGTTCAACTTGGATTTGGTCCTGCTGAGCACTACCCAGACTGATCCCTGAGCACAGAGCCAGGAGTAACCCTTGAGCATACCTGGATGTGACTCAAAAATAAAGTTTGAAGGAGAACTCACTATTAGTGAGTTGATAACAGTTACCTTTGAGAAAACAGATGTTTTCCCTAGACTTTAGAACGTAAATTGACTTGTATAATTAGCACATAATGACATATAATTAATAAAAAAATAAGATCATAGGAAGTGAAACATGAAAATGTGCTTCTGTTTATTAGTTGTACATGGCAGTTACAGGATTTATATTGAGGCATCTCTGGTTTTTTTTCTGTATTTTTTTCCTGTTGAACCTAAAAGGGGAGGTTTCATATCTTTTTCAACTCTGTAGATTCTCAACTATTGCTCTGGAACCAAAAGGACTTTGAATAAACAGTATTTTATTGTTATAATAAGAATGTTTGTTTAGAGGCAATGTTTGTTTATTTTAGAACATTTTGTTTCTCAATTCATAATTCAATAGGAAAACATTGTCTATTCTATGATAGTTTTCTTTTCATTTTGTCCTGGGGGCATACCTGGCAGTTCTCAAGTGCTATTTCTGACTTGGTGCTCAAGAGTGACCCCTGGAAGTGCTCCAAAAATTATACGCAGTGCAAGGTTGGAATACCTTACCTCCTGTACTATTGATATAGTCTAGGGCAGCTTTTAAAAAATGTTCGGTTATTATTTTTTAAGTTCTAGTCTCTTGACATGTTAAAAAGAGTCAAAGTCACAATTAAAACATGGCACATTACTTGTTATATAGTTGTAATCAATAAAAATAAGGACTGAATTAGCATAGAACATATGCATTGGCCTAATAAGATGTTAGAAATACTTGCATAATTTAAAGGAAATTTCAATTAGCAAATAATTCACTTAAATATGATAAAAAGATCATTTAGTCCTGTGCTCAGTGGTAAAACATTTGCCTTACATCTGGGCTCAATCGCTGGCACTGGGTAGGAGAGGGGAATGGGGGGAGGACAAAAACCTATCTTTTCTCCAAATGAATCAGGAGTCTACCAGAAAGATGTGTATAGAGGTTTAAAGGAATTATGTGATGTAGTCTAGAATACACTCCTGGACAGATAAAATATTGCATTTTCATAACCATTACAAAAATAACAAGTTAAGCAAGCCAAAATGTATTGAATATCTACCTTGTACTAAGGTCTTTCTGTTGAGTTCTATTTTGTATATGTCAATAGCAAAAATCAGTTGCTATTCTAAGACCTGTTGGATGTCTCAGAAAATTCGTGCTTCCTATGTTCAATCAGAATTTTAAATTTTATAGCCTCATGTCTTGGGTTTTCTAGCTTTTCTCATTGTTTCCTGCTGCAGCAAACAATCATCACTTATTTGTAAGGTTACAAAAAAGAAAAAAAAACTTGATAAAATCACATAAGATGTGTATGAATCTTTTAGTTGCAGTATTAAAAGGCACACAATATTTGGATTTTGTCTTTCAAATATCTGTGGTAGACCTAATCTAGTAGGAATCTGAAATGTGTACATTCCTGCTACATTTGTAAGTCTGTCCCAATACAGTGCTTTAGAAATCAAGTAGCTTTCATAAGCTCACCTTGGAAACAAAAACAGAAACAAAAATAGAATAAAAATATCAAAAGCTTTCTTACAATAAAAGCCACAATTTTATGTGAAATTTTCTAAAATGTCAAGTAAATATTGACTTTACTTTAAATACTCATGATGACCTAGATGAAGTTTAAGTGGGAATATGGTTATTGTAACCTTGTGTCAGTCTAAGAATGATGCCCAAGAAATTCTTATTCTGTCTAGTCTCAAGTAGTTTGAGCACGCTTCCGGCATCTTCGTGACATTCTTTCCACAAACAAGAATTATACCTCCAAATCCATCAACAGTGGATATTTTCAGAATCATTAAATAGTGATTTCATTGATGTGACTTTCTCAAGATGTATATACAACTGATATTATCTGTCTATTTTATAACTTACCAACTGTTACATTTCTTTGTTTCCATTCAATTCATATATTAAAGTTTTAACCATTGTCCATCAGAATATGCACTATTCATAGATAGTAATTCATTTAAAATAAATACATAAATTTATATGGATGGAATCAAATTCAATTAGACTGACATCATTATAAGATGAGAAATTTGTGTTGAATACAAATAGAGAAAGGATGTGTGAAGATAAAAGAACACAGCTATTTACAAGCCGAGAGACCTCCATTGATCTAATGGTAGTAAGTAACAACTTAAGCATGAACTTCTACATCCAAGACTGTGAATTTCTACATCCAAGACTGTGAAAGAATAAACTTACTGACCCAGTCTGGAGCATTTGGTTATGTAAACTCTAGAAAACTAATACAAAAACCCTGCTATATGTTAAATACTCATCTGCTTCACAATCATCTACACAAAATAATCATCTACACAATGATTATTACCTTTCATCTTACTATATTTTATATCATCACTCCAACATAAACCATATTAGACTATTAAAAAAAGAAATGGATATGTAAAATGATAACATGATCTATAAAAAAAGACAATGCCACTCTAAAACAGAAAATTACTATAGCAAACCAGAGCCTTTAGAATTTAGGAATAAATCATAGTTCATGAAAAAGATGATAACATTTGAAATATATTAATTCTAAATAAAATATGAAATTTTAAGACCTTAACTGATTAACTTCTCAACAGAAGCCAATGTTATCACCCTATTTAAAAATGGTAACAGTAACACCCGGAGAGATAGTACAGACAGAGATTAAAGTGCTTGTTTTGCATGTAGTGAAAACCTAGCTTTGCATTCAGGCAAGGCAACTCTGATACCACTTCTGGATCTCTGAGCACAGAGCCAGGAGTATTCCCTGAGCACAGAACCAGAAGAAGCCCGTGAGTACTGCCAAGTATGGCCCTCCAATACTCTTTGGTTAAATAAAAATAAGTGAATAAAATGGCAATATCAGGCTGTCCAGCTATGTTTTTAGACTTACTGACTATAGTAACTACAATAACAAAACAGTAATTGAACATTCAACTTCATCACTTTGGGGCTGGAGTGGTAGGGTGTTTGACTTGCACATGGCCGGCCCAGTCGACCTGGGTTCTATTCCTCAGCCCCTCTCAGAGAGCCCAGCAAGCTACCGAGAGTATTTCACCCGCCCGGCAAAGCCTGGCAAGCTACCCATGACGTATTCCATATGCTAAACACAGTAACAACAAGTCTCACAATGGAGACATTACTGGGCCCACTGGAGCAAATCAATGAACAATGGGAGGACAGTGCAGGGCTAAATATTTACATTTACTCTATGAATCTGGAAAACTATAAATCATGTTCAGAAATGCTTCAAAAGATTCACAACTCTGACTGTGACTAGACAATCCCAGTTGTTGAACCAAAGTTATAAAATCAGTGTTTTCTTTCAAAGGCTGAATTCCTGGGGTGAGTGATAGTACAGTGGATAAGGTGTTTGCTTTGTGTGCAGCCAATCTGGGTTTGATTCCTGGCACAACATATGGTCCTCTGAGCTCTACCAGGAGTGACCCCTAAGCACAAAGCCAGAAGTACTCCCTGAGCTTCACTGAGTGTGGCCCAAAAACCAAAAAAGAAGAAAAAAATTCTTTTAAAAAGTTTAAATTCCTGGACATTATTATCTCTATTAATTGTAAAAAAACTTACCTGATGGCATGTCTAAAGTGAAGGCATCCGTAAGTTTTGATAACAGTTGATTAAGTTCTTCTTCCTCCAATTCATCCTTTCCCTCCTGATTGTGAATTGTTTCTTTTCTTCCCACAGGTGTCAAAGCAGGACTGTTGTTGATGTCAGCAGGAGTAATTTGATGGGTGGTCTGTGATAGTCCTTCATGGGAACTTGGCAGTACACTAATGGCTTCATTCCACATCTTTTCTTCTTGGTTTTGTACTTTGGTGGTTTGTGTTGACCTCGACTGCAAAGTGGCCTCTGGGAAGTTTGCATTTGGTAGAGCATAATCTACATTTGCTTGACTTTGGTGACTTCTGTTAATCAGGGTAGGATAAGAAAGATATTTCTTTTCTGAACCACCCCCAGAAATATTTCTTATCTCGGAAGAATCTCTTCTCAAAAGTCTTTCACCTTTTCCATCATCGGTCTTGGAAACCGTACTTTGACAGGAAGATGAAGAATAGAGTGGCTGCAACATTGCCTGAATAAAGAAGACCTTATTTATGAAGAAACTGATATTTATCAAACATGTAAAATAAATGCATAAAATTTAAACCTGGCAGTTTAACATAAGATTTTCTCTATTTTGTTTTATATTGTTAATAAATGTGAACTTAGAAAATGTTGGAACAGCTCGGATTTTAACCTTCACAAGGAATTTGAAGAAACTGTGGTACATATATACAATGCAACTATAAGATGAAATCATGCAATTTGCCACTATGTGGATGGAGCTAGAAGGTATCATGTTGAATGACATCATATAGGAGGTAAAGGACAGATTCAGAATGGTCTCTCATATGTGGGATATAAAGGAAACAAGGGAACAACAAGTGACCAAAGGCAGCAGAGCTAGGGTTGGTCTACAGAACTGAGTTTACCCTGGATAGGCAATAGGGAATAAGAGGGGCCCTTGAGACATTGGTGGAGAGAAGTGGATGCTCTGGTGGTAGGTGTGCTGTTGGAATGATGTATGATTGAAGCTATTATTAATGGTATTGTAAATCACAGTCCCTCAATAAAAATGGAAAGCAGCAGCTATGAAAATATATCTTGAATAGAACAGATAGTTGCAAAAACTAAAATAGTGCTAGTGTAACTTTTTAGATAAAAATATGTACAGATGCATGCATCAATGTATACAGAGAGATATTTAAAATATTATGTTGAAGGGAATATTTAGACTGAATTGACTTCATTTTGTACCTGAACCTCAAGATACCTGTAAGGAGTGTCCCTTGGGCACTATTAGTGTGGGCCAAAAAAGCAAAATCAATTTATTTGATCTACAAGAACCAGTTTCTAGTAAAATACAGCATTTTTGAAAATTGCATACAGATATTTTTTCTTCTACTCTCCATAGTAACCAGGGCGAATTTGATTAAAATTTCATGAATAATGAGAAACATAATTTATAATTGATCTTAGATTCTGCTATTTTACTCTTCTTCCCTTTACATTTTTTCCCCATTCACCTCCTTCCCCTGCATACAAAGATCCCGATGTAGACACAATTTGGGCTAAGACCAAAGTGTATGCCTTCTGTTTTTCAAATCTCTAACATTCAAATTAAGTTTGCCGTATTATTTAAACCTCTCTGGTGATGTTTCATATAGAATGGTTTTATTACTTGTTATTAGTTACTAACTACTTTTATAAGTACTTCTTAAATTAATTTTTATTATGGTAATAGTGCTGGGTAAATAGGGCTGGAGCAATAGCACAGTGGGTAGGGTGTTTACCTTGCACTTGGCCAACACAGCCAACCTGAGTTAGATTCCTCTGCCCCTCTCAGAGAGCTCAGCAAGCTACCGAGACTATCTCGCCTGCACAGCAAAGCCTGGCAAGCTACCCGTGACGTATTCGATATGCCAAACACAGTAACAAGTCTCACAATGTTATTGGGCCCACTTGAGCAAACTGATGAATAACGGGAGGACAGTGACAGTGACATGGTAAATAGTATTAGATACAATTCACAAAAATTCTTTGGCATTCTCAAAAAAAGGGGGGGTGTAAAAAGTATGCTGAGACCAAAAGTTTAAAATTCTCTACTGTCAAAGTGAGGTGTGCTAAATTTCAGGATTCAGCCCTTCTCTGGTCAGGGAGTTCAGATCAAACTCCCTTTACAGGAATCAGTCTTGGTTAGATGGTTCAGATGACCAGCCTCCCATATTTTATACCTGTAGATCCTGTCCCATTTTCTGTAGTTTGGTCCACAGAGTCTCCTGGTTGGTCTTGAGTTCAAGAATCTTTGTTTCAAGTCTGTAGCTTGTTTCTTCCTGGAAGGCACTTATTATTTGCATCTTGTTTTTGCATCGGTTTAGCTGTTTTTTAAGGAGTCTGCAAAGATGACAGGTTAGAGTGAACTGAAGTGATAAGAGCCTCCTCAGTAATGAAAGCTCTAGGCAGATGATTTTTGGTGCTCAGAAAAAATGCTGGAGAAGCCTGTACCTTCATGATAATGATTTAACTCTGATTTATACTTTTATCCACCAACCACAGATGCTGTTTGTGTCTCATGAATAAAAAATATGAGTAAGAATTTCAATGACTTTACTGGTGTTTTGGAAAGATCACATATAAGTACTCCTCTTAACAGCATACCTGATGAGGGAAAAGGCCCCCATTTTCTCTGAGAATAAGAGAAATAGGCCTCTTACCCCCAAAATAAAGTGCTTGAGAATTTCTACTCTGCCCTTTCCTGCCAGCTGTCTCCAAATGCCCCATCCCTATCAGAAAGGTTATAAAATTGAGCTCTTGCCATTGTTTGGGGACCAGTCTTTGGAGAATGAGCTTAACTGGGTTTCTTATAGCATACTGCTGGTTTTTGGGTTGGCATTTGGTGGAAATTTCTGCAACTTGCCACCTCTTTAACTTCGAATATTAACTACATTAATAATTTTTTCTAGATATGATTCATCATAAATCCTTTATCATTCAGACAGAACTCCCAACAACTGACAAAAGAAGTAACAAGGTTGTGATTCATGAATATTCTCCTGGATCTAGTAGTTTGTTGGTTTAAAAATGAACTGAGTGGTCCCCTTTGCTTAACAACACCAAGGGTTTGCCTCCTTATGGAGAATAAGTTCAAGTTGGGTGACTCAGGTACACTCTAATTGTTTGATCAGTGCCATTGTCATATTTGTAGAATTTGTATAATTCAGCTCTCTATTAGAAAATGTGACAAGCTTAATGTTAGAATCTTTGAATTTACATCACAGAGAGGGATTGCATTTATTTGTACTATAATCCAAAGTAGGTGTCTCTGAAAGCTAGTCCTCAAACTTCCAATGTGATATTCAGGTGAAATAGTAGTCTGGTTCTGCAATATTTTTTTTTAATTTTAACTGAAGTTTAAAGAACATCCTTAAGAAGAGATCTCAGAAAAAAGTCAACAAATTATTTGGGATGAAAAATATCAAGACAACATTCTCAAAGGACTGTTCTACACAGTATTCTGTGCACCAAAGTGTGTTTGTGGTAGTCACTGGGGAGTTCACTTTCTCCTTTTCATTCATCCATCATCTCCATCCTTTTTCCATACTTGAACAATTAGAAGGTATGTATTTCCATCCTTCCTGAGACCAGGTGAAAGCAGGCAAAGTTTTATTAGGAAAGCAGTCACTTTTTAAATAAATGACTTATTTTCCTCTTTTTTAAAAGAGAAATTCTCATGGAATATTTCTGGTAAAAACAATTTACATGGTGCCAATATTTTAATCAACTGGGAGTCCAATATTTTCCTGGAAAACTGTTAAGAAAGTTAACAAAATTCAGATTATTGAGAAATTATTATTCCTAAGTGATTTGAAACATATAAAAATATATATCTGTAATATATATAATTTATATATAATATGTAATAGATTATATAAAATAATTAAAATATGATATATAACCATATATGTTAATATTAAATATATAATTATTATGTTATGTAATAATATATATAAATATAATGTCAAGTTTTCTGAAGTTAAGCACCTTGAATTTCCCATGGCACAAACCTTCAAATAGGATACAGAGATTAAGGCAAATTAATTCAGCACACAGCAATGCAATATTACTTCCCATGATTAGTACCTAGCACCATGTAGTGTAATAAATAGAAAACTAAAGATTGTAATGATTGAAGGCTGCTCTTTCTATGAATATAGTTTGAGATCACATTGATTTTTAAATAATCAATAAACACAGTGGTAGCAGTTTTAAGCTTTATGTCCTAACCTATTTTACTATTTTCTTTTGAAACTGGACCTACAATTGCAGAACTTACATTAAATAACTTCAACCTTGGTCTTTATTTATTGTAACATTGTTCAAACCTATCAAATAGCAGTAAGAAAAAACTGTCATTCATCTTATTATTTTTGTATGCCCTTTGTGCAGCATGCCACCTACAAATGAGAAGCATCCCCTTACAATTTAGCCAAATCTCTGGTAAAAATAATGGTGTGGGACCAAGGGAGATAGCTCAAGCAGCACCGGAATGCTTGGTCCTACCACTGACGCAACAGGTTGATTCAACCAGACCAAGAATTACAGGAAGAGGTCCCTGAGTTTTCAAATACCACTGGAAGGGCCTTGCTACATTCATAAAAGAAAGTAGAGGATGGTGCAAAAAGGATACATTTACCAAGATTTCCTCATTAATCAGCTCCACATTTTAGTTGTGTTTGTGTTGATAAACACTGGTGTTTGTGTTGATAAGTATTTTGTAGCAGTACACAAGGAGGTGCATAGTGGGCATGAATTCTTATAAAGGGGACTAATTTAGTTTAAGATAGTTTTAGGTGGGGCTGGAGAGATTGTACAGATGGTTGGGCTCTCACTTTGTATGCATGAAGCAGAGCTGGATTTGATTCCCAGCACTGCATAAGAAGAGAGCACCAAATAAAGGGTGTTGTGAGGATCCTCCCAGGGTGGGAGAAGCATGCTGAAAGTAGACTATAGACCAAACATGATTGCCACTCAGTGCCTCTCTTGCAAAACACAGTACCCAAAAGAAGAGAGAGAGAACAAGGGGGAATGCCCTGTCACAGAGGCAGGGTGGGACGGGGTGGGGGGGGGAGGGATAGGGAGTGGGAGGGATGCTGGGACCCATGGTGGTGGAGGATGGGCACTGGTGGAGGGATGGGTACTTGATCATTGTATAACTGAAACCCAAGCACAAAAATTTATAAGTCTATAACTGTACCTCATGGTGTTTCACTAATAAAAAAAAAAACTAAAATTGGCTAGATGAGTTAGGGAAAGCTTACTCAAATAAAAATAAAGCTCCCTTTTCTCATTTTGAATTATTGAACTTCTGTGCTTAAAGATTATTTTCTAGATTAACACTGTCAAACTGTCCTCCCGTTGTTCATCGATTTGCTCGAGCGGGCCCAGTAATATCTCCATTGTGAGACTTCTAGTTACTGTGTTTGGCATATCGAATACTCTCGGTAGCTTGCCAGGCTCTCGGAGAGGGGCGGAGGAATCGAACCTGGCTCGGCCAGGCTGGTTGCACGCAAGGCACACGCCCTACCGCTGTGCTATTTTCTAGATTAAAAAGAGGAAAATACCAAATAAAAGCAATGAGTAATGCCACTGGTTTGTCAACTGTCAGAGTCTGTGCCTGCCCACGTAGTGGGCACCTACCTTCGCTCCTTCTGGAGAGCATGTATGTATTCGCGATTCCTCCACAGCTCATTCTTGAGGCTGACTATGGTCTAAAGCAGAAAGAAATTGGGAGAATGAGGTGTCAGCTTTTGGTTTGACTCTCGCTTACATTCCTAAGAGTTCATCATAAAAATAAAATAGTTATGATGTTTTAAAAATTTTTTTTTAAATACTAGTTTATTTCCGGGCTGGAGCGATAACACAGCGGGTAGGGTGTTTGCCTTGCACGTGGGAGATTCAGGTTTGATTTCTCTGTCCCTCTAGGAGAGCCCAGCAAGCTAACTAGAGTATCCCACCTGCACAGCAAAGCCTGGCAAGCTACCCGTGATGTATTCGATATGCCAGAAGCAGTAACAACAAGTCTCACAGTGGAGACGTTATTGGTTCCTGCTCCAGCAAATCAATGAACAACCGGAGGACAGTGCTACAGTGCTACAGTTTATTTCCACCAGTGATCGATATTGAATTTATTTTATACCACATACAATTTTGTGGGTCCACATGTAGCCTCAAGTTCCTGTTTCCAAAATATTCTTTAGCAAAATAAATTTCTTTAAGATGTAAGCCTAACTCAGGGTCCCGGGGCCTGCCTCTCTGGAGGGGAGGTTGTACTGCATCACTCTCTGTGGCTGCTTGTTGGGAACTAGATAGATAAGGGAGAAGGATAGGAAAGGCAGTTTATGGAAACTTTCTATCCAGAACTCTGCTGTAGGAGGTGAAATATTGCCCCCTGGAGGGGGTCCTGTATCTGTTCTATCTCTATGCCCTCTCTTGGAAGAACTTCCTGTAGTGAAAAACCCTTTACAATGAATATGATTAGCATAAATTAAGACCCATAGATATGTAAAAGTCTAAGTAAGTTACCTAGGCTTTTGAGCAGAAACTGTTCTCTTTTTTTGATTCCTGATTCTAAGCAATAAATACTGTACTTGAAGGCTGTTAACCTCTGGCCCCCTTCACCCCCCTGCCCCCCTCAGCTTCACCCCCCTGCCCCACCTCTTAATCCTCACAGCACGCCCTGCTTTAGACCATTCACCTGGGACTGGTCCCCAGCAGCTATTATGATGGTCTGACAACATTTTTTTTTCTTTTTTAAAGAATAGAGAGTAAGGAGGAGATGGAAGGACAAAGGTAAAAGGTAAAGGCGCTCTCGTTGATCATCGATTTGCTCAGTAACGTCTCCATTGGAGACTTTGTTGTTACTGTGTTTGGCATATCGAGTACGTCATGGGGAGCTTGCCAGGCTCTGCCGTGCGGGCGAGATACTCTCGGTAGCTTGCCGGGCTTTCCGAGAGAGGCAGAGGAATCAAACTCGGGTTGGCCATGTTGAGAAAACAGCTTTATATTCTAGTCTTCATTCCATACATTAAAAAATGAATAATGATTGCGTGTTCTTGAGACTTGGAGATTCTTATAGCATCTTTCTTGACATATAGGGGCTCCATGTTCAATGAAAGAAGCATATGTGTAAATGGTAAATATAGGAGCTATAATAATATCTATCAAGAATCTGAGCTAAAAACTGAAAGCCATATTATCTGCTTGATAATGTACCCATGAACATAGCCTGTACCTGTTTGTCTCTTCATTAAAAAAACTCAAACTTGGGTTGGAGAGATAGCACAACAGGTAGGGTGTTTGCCTTGCACACGGCCGACCCGGTTTCGATTCCCAGCATCTCATATGGTCCCCTGAGCACTGCCAGGAGTAACTCCTGAGTGCAGAGCCAGGAGTAACCCCTGTGCATCGCCAGGTGTAACCCAAAAAGCAAAAACAAAAACAAAAAACAAACAAACAAACAAAAACTCACACCTGAGAGAGATAGTAAATAGGGTTAATATGTCTGGTTCAGTCACTAATCCCACATTGTCCCCAGAGCATTTCTGGACGCCTCCCTACCACAAGCACCGTCAGATCCCTGGCACCTCAGGGCCCCAGGCAACATTTCTGAGCTCTCACTAGAATTATCTGGGGTCTTCAGCACTCCTGGGGGGTCCTTCCCCAAATAACAACAAATACTCAACCCCCCTTCAGAAGCCTAGCAGAGCTTTGAATAAGTATATTTTATAGTTTTATTATTTATTATGATTTAATTTGGGGGGGGAGCATTCCCTTCAGTACTTGTGTCTCTCAGGCTATTTACAGTGAAGAAGGTGCCCCCATAGGTGGCTTATGTGAGAGAGAGGAGAGAGATGGTCATTTTCTTCTGATCTGCCTCAGCCACCCGAGGCCATCTGGAAAGGCAAGGACTGATAGAGCCAGATGAGTCCTTGTGGAGCATGAACCTGAGCCCTAACTCAGGGAGGATTCAGGCTAGGGTGAAGAATTGCTCTTTGCAGGAAAGGAAAGTCAGTCCTAGGCCTTATCCTTTCTGGGTTCTTGTCTTGTCTTGCAGAATAGAATTTCAGGAGTAGACAAGAGCAGTGAAGTAAAACAGATGTGATTTGGAGGATTTTAGGAAGGGGAAGGAGGGAGAGAAGGAGGGAGGGAGGGAAGGAGGGAGGGAGGGAGAGAGAGAGAAAGAGAAAGAGAGAGAGAGAGAGAGAGTAACATACTCAAGGAGGGAATGCAGACTTCTCCAAAGGTGGAGAGAGCCCCTACACACATCACAACATTAGATATGAAAGTACAAAAGTACACATCTCAAGAGGGGAGATGTAAGTGATACATGTGCTCAAGTATCACATGTGCTCAGTCTCCTGAGTGGTCACAAGCAGCATATGGGCTTGGGTAGTATAAGCGCATCCTCCCTTTGTTCAAGGAGGCTTTGAGAGAGTTTCTCCAATCTGCAAAATACATCTTTAGGATCAGAAAATAATGATTAGAGTGATTGAGGGAAGGCCTCCAAGAGGGAAAGTCTATACACCATAGGAGAAGAAATAAACGACTGAAACATGATTAACTATCTGCAGAATGTAGAGCCTTAGCCACATGTAAGGCAAGCACTATAGGATAACACTGGTTTGTCCTTTTTGCCTTGCCACAGGGAGCTTAGGTTTATTGGGTTGCACCCATTCACAGTGCTCCCGAGGCACTCCCATTCCTCTGTGTTTATCTGTAAACTTTTTTTTTCTTTTTGGGTCACACCCGGCAATGAACAGGGGTTACTCCCGGCTCTGTGCTCAGGAATCACCCCTGGCGGTGTTCAGGGGACCATATGGAATGCTGGGAATTGGACCCGGGTTGGCCGTGTGCAAGGCAAACACCCTACCCGCTGTGCTATTGCTCCAGTCCCCTATCTGTAAACTTTTTGTGCTCTGCTTTGACAACCAATCACCTTTATCTCCTAATCAAACTCTGATTTGTAAATATTTGTAAATATTGCTTTTCTCTTCTTTTTGAGTCCTTTGAATAGTTAATTCAGAGTTTTTTTTAATAGACAGGGGAAAACAATGAATGCTATGCTTCTGTAACTTGGAAGTTAATTGTCTCCAAATAATACTCACTCCTGGACATCTGTTCTTTCAACTTAAACCTCAGTTGTCCTTACGTCCTAGCATCCGAAAAGCAGGGTCCAGATGAGGAACTGGATGGACACAGCGCAAGTTGTAAGCTACCTTGGCATTGAAATGGACAAGACCAGATATTTAACTATACGTTAAGAGCATGGTCATGGACAAATTCTGTCATGATTCAAAAAGTAACAGCTGGATTAGGACCCTGCTAGGATTAGGAAAGATTAATCTGACCTGAGCACTGTAGTCTGGGATCTATAGCAAAATGTCCCCAGGAGAGGATATAAAGTAACAAAGTATGAGATTAAAACCCAAGAATAGCTGAGATCAGCACCAGGAGGATTACTCCATAACTTAGAGGCCAGCCAGGTATCCTAGAGGAAAGGGCAGTTCAGATAGAGAAGGGAGCACCAAATAAAGGATGTTTGGAGGATCCTCCCAGGAGGGGAGATGCATGTCGAAAGTAGACTATAGACTGAACATGTTTGCCACTCAATGCCTCTTTTGCAGACCACAACACCCAAAAGGAGAGAGAGAACACAGGGGATTGCCCTGCCACAGAGACAGGGGGGATGGGGGGATGTGGGTGGGAGGGATATTATCCATGGTGGTGGAAAATGGGCACTGGTGGAGGGATGGGTATCTGATCATTGTATAATTGAAACCAAAGCACAAAAAATTGTAAATCTACAACTTTAAAAAAATAAATAAATAAAGGGAAAAAAAAAACAAAACAAAAACAAAAACAAAAAAATGTCCCCAGGAGAGCCACCCTACAAGCTCAATATATCTCTTACTGTGTCCATACAAAATGACTAATATTATTAATTAAGATGTATGTTTAAATGGTTATTGGACTAAGGAGAGGAGGAAGACCCCTAGATGTTACTTCATCCTTGAGCCAGATCTCTTGGCTGCAAGAAATCAGGAAAGGCTTTTCATACATTGTTTATTCTACCTGACCTTGCTACCGCCAAGTACTGGGGTGAGTGTGTGTGAGACAGGAAGAGATGGGAATGAGGGGCTTAGTGAGATTGGAATAGGTGCATGGGGACAATGGAATAAATTGCAACTGATCACCAAAAAAAAAATTGGCAATTGCTAAAGAGACAGTTCATACTTTCAATATAGTGTTTTGACCACAAGAAAAGATGGAAAATGAATAATGCTTAATGCAACCATGAAACTCAAATGCTCAAAACTGACCAAAAGAGAAGGATGGGGAAGGGAGGTGTCAGAGGTAGTGGGAGGTGGGAGATAGAGATACAGACAGAGAGAAATAGAGAAAGAGGAAAGAGACAGAGGAAATAAGCAAATCAAATTTGAAGTATATTTAAAGAATAATCCACTACAAACAAGCATACTTTTATGTTCCAGTAAAGCCAGAAGGAAAATCAATTATCAGGGATTCTATCAATGTAATTACTCTAATAAGCAAAAAATGAGATAATTTTAATTGTCACTAAAAAGGAATTTAAAATAAATAAATCATGATTGTACACCTTCCAAAACTGAAAAAACTAGCAAAAGAAAATGACTTCTTCCACATTAGAATCTCAAGCCAATAACTACTATCGTCATATTTAATGGAGAAATATTAGGCAAATTTCCCCCATTAAATCTAATCCCATTTAAAATAAAAATAACTTTCCCATTATTTCTTGCATTATTCAATATTGTTCTGAAATATCTGGAACTCTCAGGAATAAAAACATGAAACAGAAATGAGCAGCTTAAAAATTAGAAAGAGACAAAAATATATTTTCTTTTTTGGACTGCTTGTTTCTCTAGAATCCAATGATTCAGTATAAAACAATATTTGAAATTAAGGGAGCCCAGAAATAATAGCTACCTAATTTAATGCTAATCATATTTAATAATAATTTCTTACATAATAGCTATTTCAAAAATTCATAAATTTCCTATATGTTAGTATCAATTATTAATAAAAAAGAAGAGTGAAAGAAATCTTTATTTAAAATGACCCAGCAAATGTAAAATACACAGAGTGCCTTCTGAGAGATAGCAAAAGTCTTGGGAAAAAGTAGAGACCTAACTATCACAAAAAAGGCAAATATACCACATTAACGTTAATGCAAAATGATGCAAAATACTCATAGGGTTTATTTAGTATCTCACAAATGATTTTAAAGAAATTCTGGAAGAATAATTGTTAAATAATAGGCAACACTTAAAAACAGGGATGATGTCAGCAAGATAATGGAGAATAAGCCTGGGGTGCTTTTCTCTCCCACTTCCCACCAGACACCTTGACTAGACAAGACAAGAATATTTCAGTTTCTGACTGGAGAAAAAAATGAGATTCCCAGTGATCTGATTTTTCTGGGGGCTGCTGAGACATTGGCTTCTGTTTTCCCTGTCTTGAAGGGCTACTGTGACCTAGCAGACTCTAGATGCCTAGGGCATCATAGAGGAAAAAGACAAAAGTTTGAACTAGTATAAAGAATCGAGGGATCATTGTGGAAAAAAGTCATTTTCTATAACAAAATACAAAGCTTCCAAATAATCCAATTAAGAAATATATCTTTAAAAATATCTGAATATTTATACAGAAGTCAACTGGTATAAAAAAGACATCCAATATCACTGACGTCAGAAAAATGCAAATCGAATGCAAAACTATGATTGATATCACCTCACAGCTATTAGAATGCCTACTGTTAAAAAAGACACGATTAAGTTTAGCCAAGTATATGGGAAAAAGGAGATTCTAGGGGCTGTTGTTGAAAGTGTATTCTTCCACCCTTCCCGGAGAGCCTGGCAAGCTACCGAGAGTATCTCATCCCCACGGCAAAGCCTGGCAAGCTACCCATGATGTATTTGATATGCCAAACACAGTAACAAGTCTCACAATGGAGACATTACTGGGCCCACTGGAGCAAATCGATGAACAACCGGAGGACAGTGCTACAGTGCTACTATTAAAATCAGAAATTTTCTCAATTAAAAAATTCAAAAACAGAGCTACATATGATACAGTAATGCCACTTGTAAGTATTTGTCTGGAGGAAATTAAAACACTAACTCAACATGATATACATGCACCCCGACAGACACTGTAGCATTGTTCACAATAGCTTTGACATGGAAAAAACAAAGTGTTTATTTGTGGATGAACACATCACATTCAAAATGCATATGCATGCACCACTCATACACATACATAAAATGCATTATTTTTCAGCCATAAGTGAGAGAAATTTTGTTATTTTCAATAATGCAGATAAAGCTAGGGGGCTTTATGTCAAGTGAAATAAGTTAAACAAAGAAAGACAAATAAAGCATACTATTTCTAGGGTGTAGGAAACCCTTCAACTCACTGATACAAAAAAAAAAAAACCAGATTAATAGCTGCCAGAGACAGGGGCTAAGAGTGCATAAAATGAGTGAGGGGGTGTCAAAATATAAAAGTCTAGTTATAAATAAATATGTCCAAGGAGTGTACAGTATATCAACTATAGTTAGAAAAACTGAATTATATATTTGAAAGTTTCTACTATATTGTGACGTATTCAATATGCCAAACACAGTAACAACAAAGTCTCCAAGGGAGACGTTACTGGGCCCGCTCGAGCAAATCGATGATCAACGGGAGGGCCTTTACCTTTACATTTATCTACTATATTAGATCTTAAAATTTTGTATTGTACAAATGTAAATTGATATAGACCTATATAATAAAATTCTGTGATATGATCTGGACTACACTAAAAATGTTTGCATGGAGGGAAGTGTAGACACATAATTTGATTTATTTGTTGATTTTCCCAGTTTTCCTACAGTTTTAGGAGTTTACTATTGGAGATAAGATTATTTTATATAATTCTCTACTGGATTAAAAAATACCTAGATCGGATTAATAATAAAAATAATATCTTAAAAATACCCCCCGCACACACACACACAATTAAAGAACCTTGTCAAATCTCACTGCACCATTATAGAGTGGTCTGGGTTAATTTTAGTAAACAGTAATTCATTGCCATTTTGAACTCACCTGACGATGTGGGCTGCTATGATTGGTTTGTTGAACCTGAGGTGTCATTTCAGGTACGTTTTTGGAGGCCTTCGTGGCTGCTGGTCCAGGTGAACTTACATATATTGGTACTTCAGGGTTAGTGCACCGAGTGAAGAGCCTGCTATAAAATAGAATTTTATTAAAGGTTTGCAAAGTAATAACTTTTGATGATCAGATACAAGATCAGGGAAAGTTTTTTTTCTTTTTTTTTTTTCCTGTTTTTTGCTTTTTGGGTCACACCCAGCGATGCTCAGGGGTTATTCCTGGCTCTGCACTCAGGAATTATTCCTGGCGGTGCTCGGGGGACCATATGGGATGCCAGGGATTGAACCCAGGTCGGCCACGTGCAAGGCAAATGCCCTACTCGCTGTGCTATAACTCCGGCCTCAGTATTTTTTTTTTTAATTTTTATTAGTGAGACGCCATGAGGTACAGTTGCAGACCTAAAAATTTTTGTGCTTGGGTTTCAATTATACAATGATCAAATACCCATTCCTCCACCAGTGCCCATTTCCCACCACCACGGATCCTAGTATCCCTCCCACCTCCCATCCTCCCCATCCCACCCTGCCTCTGTGGCAGGGCATTCCCCTATGTTCTCTCTCTCCTTTTGGGTGCTGTGGTTTGCAAAAGAGGCATTGAGTGGCAATCATGTTTGGTCTATAGTCTACTTTCAGCATGCTTCTCCCATCCTGGGAGGATCCTCCCAACACCCTTTATTTGGTGCTCCCTTTTCTCTCTGAGCTTCCTTTAAGGGAAGTATTTTTTAACAAATGCTAAATCAGGTATTAACATTTAATATTAAAAAAATAGCGGGGCTGGAGTGATAGCACAGCAGGTAGGGCATTTGCCTTGCATGCAGCTGACCCGGGTTCGATTCCCAGCATCCCATATGGTTCCCCAAGCACCGCCAGGAGTAATTCCTGAGTGCATGACCCCTGTGCATCGCCAGGTGTGACCCAAAAAGCAAAATATATATATATATATATATTAAAAAATAGCAATAGGGTCCAAGAAATAGTACAATGGGTAGAATGTGCTTGCTTTGAAGGCAGCTGATCTGGGTTCATTCCCTGACACTGCAAATGGTCCCTTGAGCATTGCTAGGAGTGATTCCTGAGCAGAGACAGGAATAAAACCTAGGCACTGCCAGGTGAGACCACAAAATCAAATAAAATAAAATAACCCAACTTTTTCTCTCTGTGCTCTTTTCCAACTCTATAGTTGATAGAGAGCCAGTTAGCCAATAATAGCAATCAAAAATACATTCTTCCCCTTCTTGACAATCTAGAAATGAGAATGCAAAGAAATTCTGTGTGATTATAGAAAATCCACCAGGTCATCTTGTCCAAGTCAGATACTTGGGATTCTAATTGCAGGTGTTTTTTAAAATGCCATATCTGAAAGAATAGAGCAAACTAGTTTAAGGTCAGAAATTCTATTTTATACTATCCCATTTAGCTTTATTCCCTTCTTCTAAAGCTATCTCAAAGCATCCTATCAGCTTGAGTTATTACCCATAAAAAGATTTTAAAATAACAGTTAACTGCCTGCTCACAGAGACTTTACATCTAAAGAACAGACGCGTGTGTAATCATTTTTGACATAGTGTGATTATTTCTACAAAATGCAGTGAAATATAGGAAAGAATGAATTATTCTGTGGTATACTTAAATGCATGTTTAAGTTGTGAGCATTATGTTAGTGGAAAAACAGTATAAGCCATAATTTCTTTGTTGCATATCTTCTGGCTGACATGCACTGTATCTACCCAAACAATGACAAATTCAATATGTTAGGGTTGTTTCGCACTATTTTTGACATTCACTAAACCATTTATAAACATTTATGAACAGCTTTAAGTGGGAAGCTTACCATGAGGGTTAATGTGGGCAGAGGAACAGGATGCTGGGGTTGGGGGGAAAGGGGTGGGAAGGTCAATGACTTGGAGACAATGATGGCTAGAAGCAGACATTCTTGCTGAAGGGTGTGGTTCTGGAATGTTTTATGCATGAAACTGTTCCATTAAGTGTTGCAAACCATGGTGCTAAGACAACATAATTTTTTAAAAGACAGATATTGATGATAAATGTCCTCTGATTGAAAGCTAAAATTTGCTTTTAAGTAAATTCTTTGCATGTTTGCATCACATATGGGCACAATTTTTCCATTGGTTGACCTTTAGATTGTTTCTGGTTTATATTATCCAACACTCTATGTCTATAGTGTCTATCAGAATTTACCTAGTATGCTGCTCTTATTGCTATATACCGAAGATCCGAAAAAGAATCAAAGGACAAATCTTGTCTATATTTTTTTAAGTTTAGTGATACCAGTTTCTAAAAGCAATTACTCCTGATATATGCTAGATTTCAACTCCTCTTGACATTTAAATGACATTGCTCTAGCTATTCTTTTCTCTTGTACCAAATTATTTTCTCTTTATAAGCTCATTTTCTTATTTCTCAAAATGCTGTAATTTTCCCCATCAGAACAAAAATTCTTTTAACTTGAGTCAGTCTACCATCTATACTCTCTTTTTGTTCTCCCTACAATAAAATGTCCTAGAAAAAAATTTTTTGCACGTACTGCCATATAAGTACTTTGTGTTAACCAATTGTGCCACTGGAGGTCCGAAAAAAATTCCTTATTTGGTTGTCTTCACTTTATCAGTTTTCCTATTGCTTCTTCGATTGCCTCTAGTTTGTTTTGTTGTTTGCTTCTTTGTTTAACTACTACCATCCAACATACCAAATAATTTTTTTAGGTCATCAGTGATTTTCTCATTACTAAATCAAAGGCCAGCTCTTATTTAACCATTTGCCACAGTAAAATCCAGCCCTACTCTTTAAGTTACTTTCTTTCTTGTCTTCCAGTATTCCTCAACTTTTTATTTCCTCCCACCTTATTTATTATTTTCTGAGTATTCTGTTCTGGTTTTTCTTTTTCTCCGCAACTTTTTAATGTGGGGATATTGCAGGATTCAGTCCTTGGTTCTTGGTTCTCTTCTCTTCTATACCTTCTCTTTCTCCTTGGTGATCCATACAATATCGTGGCTTTTTTCACAAATTAAAGACACAAATAGTCAACACTCTGTAACATTTCTACATGGATACCTGAGATACTTGTTTTAAGACATCCCAAATTGAATTCCTAATCATTTTACGCAAACTTCTCCATCTAACACCTCTCCAATTTCGGATGTTTGTCCATCAACTTTCTACTCACTCTAATATAACATGACTGTATAATTTGGTAGATATATGAGAATAAACCCATAGACTTGGAAATAAGAATATGTATTTTATTAGATGACTGAAGAATATAAAGAAACTTTGTACGAGAATAAGATTGTATTTTACTAAGTAAGGGAACGATAGTTTAATTGGCTTTTCATCTAAGAGACAGAAAAACAAGATCCTTGATAAGATAAATTCCAAATGGAAAAAATTTTTAATTCAAAACAGAAACATTATAAGAAAATGTAATAAAGTATTTCAACAGCCCTGTTTTTCTCCTTCCTCCTAGCTTATTTATTTCATAACTGAAAATTTATAGCTCTTAATATTCTACATCCATTTCTCCCACTCCCATTCTATATTCATTCACTATGGTAGCCACCGATATGTTCTCTGAATTTATGATTTTTGTTTTGTGTGCCTATTTTGTTTATTTTATTCTACATATAAATGAAAAGTCTATGTCATTTGTCTTTCTTTGATTTATTTAAATTTGCATAATATTCTCAAGATTGAACTGAAAAAATAGTACAGAGCTTTAAGGCCCTTATGAAATTGACACTGATTCAATCTCCCTGTCACATATAGTTCCCTTAAACACTGCCAGAAGTGACCCCTGAGCAGTCAGGAGTAAGCCCTGAGAATTGCTAAGTATGGCCGTATTATTTGTCCCCAAATATCCTTAAGGTTCATCCATATTATCACAAATAGAAATATTTCATCCTTTTAAAAGGTTGAGTATTATATCACTATATATGTGTATATGTATCTATATACACATATATAAAACATCTTTCTGAGAGGCATGTCATATATTATATATATATAACATATATATATAACACATGTTATATATATAGAACATCTTGCCTCTTGAAGAGTTCAGTAAGCTACCTAGAGTATCCTGCCTACACAGGCAGAGCCTGGCAAGCTCCCCATGGTGTATTTGATGTGCTAAAACCAGTAACTATAACAGATCTCATTCCCCTGACCCTGAAAGGGCCTCCAGTTGTTGGGAAATATAAGGAGAAGCTGCTAAAATCTCAGGGTTGGGACCAGTAAATTGATGCTCATGTAAATCAATGAACAACAGGTTGACAGTGATACAGTGATACAGTGATATATAACATCTTTATCTATCATTTATTAATGGAGATTTCTGCTATTTTCATATCTTGGTTCTTGTAAAAATGCTTCCATGAACTAGAGGCACGTATATATCTTTGAATAAATATTTCAATACCTTCATATAGATGTTATTCTTATTATAAACTGTTATAAGTCATTGAATTTTCATCAAAAGGCTTATTATGTAGAAAGTTTGCTGAATCAACAAATTAATTCAACACTTGGCAATTATCATTAGTTCCTTAAAGGATGATGAGGACTGTGCAGTTTATAGGTATCAAAGATATGCTTTTACTTATTATAACATTATTAGTGCTATTTTACATTGATTTTTCCTAGGTCTGCCATTAACAAGAATTCCCGAACTCATTAATACCTAAGAACAAGTGAAAATTTTTACAAAAATATGTTACTTTTGGGAAAAATCCAAGTGAATAGTTTTCCTTATCAACTTATTCCAAATACTACCCTACAGTAAGAAGGACCCAATGCAGATTATCAGGTAAATAAACGGAGTCATAGTCTTGACCTGACTTTTCAAGACCATGAACACAGTTAGTTGAAAATGAGGGTTTTTTTTTACTCTCTGTCTCAGGTTCAAATTTCAACACCTTCTTTGAACACAGTGTAATCACTCTTTATGGTGCCCTTTCATGCTTCTTATGAAAAGAACTCCTGGTCCACTTTATCTATCCATCAATTCTTCTTTCATCATTCAAGCTATTATTCAACTGAGCTATTATTCAACTGGGAA